CGATTTGCGGCGGCCCCTTCGGGGGCGAGGGGCGAAGCCGAGAGCAAAGCAGCGCCGGGGAGGGCGAGAGGGAAAAGCTCGCTGATTAGATACGCGCTGGGGGCGACCGGCTAAATTAACAGGAATGCGGAGATGCGCCCTGCCGAGAGGGAGACCCGGGGAGGGGGGAAATGTAAGTGGGCATGGCCGGGAGGTAGAGAAGCCACTTGTGAAAGGTCACCGCTGCCCGTGAAGGGGCTGGAGAGGACTCCTCCAGCTCCGGCTCTGCAGATGTATTTCCCTGCAGGGGGGGACACGACAGCTAATAGCAGCAGCGCTCCCTGGCCCCAGCAGGCTCCAGCGCTAAACTCGTGAATCGGCAACATTTCCCCACCCCTTTTTCTTTTTTTTTTTCCCCCATTAAAAATAAATAAATAAATAAACAGACAACGGAAATGAAACAAACCCACCGAGAACCAAGAAGCAACCCCTCCCCAAGCGAGCATCGTGAGCACTGACCATGCTGATTGGGATCAGAGGAGCCCTGGGGTTAAATCGAAGCTGGTTGCCCCGTGGGTTGCCCCCTGCTGGGAGGTGAACCAGCCCAAGACCTGACCCCATGTGCATGGAGAGCCGCCCGCTGTCTCCCCATCCCATCGCGGCCGGGTGTCCTCGGGGCTCAGCCACCGGCTCGGTTCCTCCAGCCCTTGCAGAGAGTCTTCACAGGGTGAAACGCTGCAGGGGAAGAGGTTCATTCCTGTCCCGCTGTCGGCCCACGGCGCTCGCTGCTCCTCCGTAGCGCCGGGTTGGGAAGCAGAGAGGAAGAGGAGAACCGCAGGGGGATGAAGGCACCGTCCCTTAACTCCTCCCGTCACAGCCTGGAAGGGACACAAGGCAGCAGAGTCAGCACCGGGCACTTTGTCCCCCCGCGCCGTGGGTGTTTGCAGGGCAGCCCCTTGCAAAAAGCCTCTCCCCAGATGGGTTTGCCACAGAGATGCCCCCGAAAGCGGCAGCACAGTGGGAAGCCGTGCACTTCTGCACCTCCCCGCCAGCCCGGTTTGGGTTTTCCTGGTGCAGGCAGCTCTCAGGGTCACAGAATCAATCTCCTAGATTGCAAATGACCCGTAAGATCATCTAGCCTAATCATGAACCTAACACTGCCAACCCACCACTAAACCATGTCCCTCAGCGCTATATCTACATGACCCTTAAATACCTCCGGGGATGGGGACTCCACCACTGCCCTGGGTAACGCCTTCCAGTGCCCAATGACCCTCTCAGTAAAGAAATTCTTCCTAATATCCAATCTAAACTTCCCTTGGTGGTACTTGAAGCCCTTTCTTCTTGTTCTATCACCTATTACTTGACAGAACAAGTCGACCCCCACCCCTCTACACCCTCCTTTGAGGTAGTTGTAGAGAGCAAGAAGGTGTCCCCTCAGCCTCCTTTTCTCCAGGCTGAACACCCCCAGTTCCCTCATAAGATGTGTTTCAGACCCCTCACCAGCTCCGTTGACCTAACGAAAGGGTCAGTATCATCTAGAGAGGAAAAGGGCTTGTTGGGTACCACACACCTCATCCCATCCACGTACACGCAAGCTCTCCCAAGCAGCAGGACCTCCGTGGGGGTTTTGTCCCCCTTTTCCTGCGTGCAGGGATGGCAGAGCCAATGGGTACCACAACCGGCTCATCCGTGAGCGTAGCCGGGGCTCCTGGGCAAGTAGGGGCTCCACCAAGAAGCCGGAACCAAACATGGGACAAGTGGCCGGAGCCGAGTGCCTAAGGAAGGAGGCAGCTCGGATGGAAAGAGAGTGCTGAGTCGAAGCATCCTCCCTTCCTTCGTGCTTAGCGAAAGAGGGGACCGGTAATTAAGGGGAAGCTGCCGGGCAGGCAGAGCCGGTGGCAGACAGAGCGTGGCTCAGTGATTGCAAAAACCTTCCCCAACCCAACCGAGCAATTACACAGCCTGCTGCTTTGGGGTTCATCAACCTTCAGCTTTCCTTGCCCGGCTGCCGGAGTCGCCCTGGTGCCTGCTCAGAGCACAGATTGGTAATTAACTTCCCTCCAGATTGACGGTTTACTTTCCGAGTGATTTGGGGGCTGTCTGACCGCTGGGTTGGTGCTGTTCCCGAGAGCCCCTCATCAGCCCCGAGCACATGGGAGGTGACACAGGGGACAACCCAGCAGCTTTCGCTGCACCGGTAACCTTGGGGCCACCCGCTCTTGCTGCACAGATAAGGAAGCCGGAGGAGAAATCAGCATCTCTAACCCTCGGTGGGGTCCAAGAGGGATGCTTGATGCAGCCTGAAGTGCCCTCACTTCTCTCCCTCAGCTCACCTCCACCCCTCCCTGTTTCCAGCCTCCATGGTCCGGGGACGCCCTCTGGGAGAAGAAAAAGTCCCCCCGTGAATGCAACCCCTGCATGAGTTAAGCTTTTGGTCCTATTTGTCACCATATGATGAATTCAAGGGAAGGAAATGAGTTTCTAAGTGATTCTTCTGCGATTTGCCTGCTGTTTCCAACAGGCCAAATCCTGAAACCCTGACCGGGGACCCATTCACGCTGCGTTTGCTGAAGCGGAGAGATGTGACTAAGCCAAAGCAATGAAACGGAGCAGGACTCAGCCACGAGCTGTCTGTGGGAGAAGAAGAGACCATGGAAGCTGCGACGGCTGATGCAGGCTGCAGGTCTGGGGAAGAATCCCGGGCAGAACTTGCCCTCCCCACCAGTTAAATCTGGGCAAAAGAAGAAAAAAACCGCCTTCCCAGCAGGGAAAGCTGCTCTGAGCGTGGTGCACAGCAGGCACTGGAGCCCTGGCTGATGTCTCCAAAGGAGATGGCCCCAAGGTCCCGACACCAGCCTGCCCCTGGACCTACCCTGCTTCTTCCCCTCGCCTTTGGTGGAGCACATCACCATGCTCCTCCTGATCATCTCCGACTACTTTCACAGGCTTTTTCACCCCAACGTGGACAGCCAGCACTGCAGTGACAGCTGGCATGGGCACAGCACTCCGTGACCACCCTTCCTACCCATCCATGCCCCTCCACACAGCACCAGAATACCCTCAGCTTGTCCCCGTGTTCCCCCAGCGCCAGCCATTCAGCTGTGACAGCGGGGTCTTGAGGAGCACAGGCAGAGCTGCCTGCCAGCATGGGGAAGGACAGGCAGGGGCAGGGACTTACTCCGCCGACTTCCAAAAGTGCCCGGGGTGGGAAAGGCGACGGTTGCGCTTTGGCAGTTTCTCCAGCATGTCCATGAGCTTGGTGAAGGTGGGTCTCTCCTCTTGCTCGTAGGCCCAGCAGAAGAGGAGGATGTCCTGCAGCCACACAGGGTGAGCACGTGAGCAAACAGAGCCAGTCCCTCACCCACCACAACCCCCACACCCAACATCCACTGTGCAGGGACCCCATTTTCATCACTGCATCCTTGAGAAGGGGTGGGGGTTGGGGTGGAGGGGCTGTGTCCATCCTATGAGGACTCCATCTCTATCACCACATCGTGACGAAGGGCTAAGGTGGAGGGAATGTGTCCATCATATGAGGAACCCATCTCCATCACCACATCCTGATGAAAGGCTGAGGTGGAGGGGATATGTCCATCCCATGAGGACCCCGTCTCCATCACCACATCCTGATGAAGAGCTGAGATGGAGGGGATATGTCCATCCCATGAGGACCCCATGTCCATCATCATATCCTTGAGAAGGGCCGGGGTGAAGGGGATGCGTCCATCCCATGAGGACCCCATCTCCATCACCACATCCTGATGAAGGGCTGGGGTGGAGGAGATGTGTCCATCCCACAAGGACCCCATGTCCATCACCATATCCTTGAGAAGGGCTGGGGTGGAGGGGATGCGTCCATCCCATGAGGACCCCGTCTCCATCACCACATGCTTGTGAAGGACTTGGGCGGAGGGGACATACAAGCTGAGCTGATACTTGTGTCATAGCAGCAGGACCAAGCCTCATTGGATGGGGAGGGAGGGAGGGACCCCTTGCTTTTTTGCTGGCAGATCCTGGGCAGCACAGAGTGTTTTTCAGAGACCCTCCACCCAGGGCATGCACCAGTGGGGCATGTTTCCCCCTCCACGCACACACACACACAGAGCTCCAGCACCTGCCCCACACCACCTACCGAGATCTCCTTGCCCATCCCGATCTGGCTGAGGTTGGGCTTCATCCCTCTTCCCACCTGCCAGATTATTGCCTCCGCTGGCTGGGTCTTGAAGGGCCATTCCCGCGCGTGCAGCTCGTACCAGATCGTGCTGTGGGGAGACAGTGGGGATTAGAGATGGGAGGAGGTGGGAGACATCCCGCGGAGGGGCCATTGCACACGTATCCACCATCTCTCCCTGCCCTAAAATCACTGACATCCAGGAGATGCTTCATTCCGGATACTCCACCTGAGGTGCTCAGCGCTCATTACAGAGATATCACCTCTCCCATTTTCCAGATGGGGAAACTGAAGCTGTCAGCTTGACCGAGAGCAAGCCACCTGCCTGGCTCAGCCCCCAGTTTAGACTGGGGAAGAACCTGGCCCGTGGGGCAGGAGGATGGAGGTTGGCGGGGAGCACGGGCAGAGGTGTGGGCAGCGGCACGGGCAGAGCCGCTAGCCAGCCTGTTACGTCAAGTGGGGATCTCCCACCGGGCTGCAATAGCACCTCGTCCCGCTCCCCGCGGAGCAGCTTAATAGATGATGTGGGGGGTAAATATGCGGTCCAGCTGCCGGGCTGGTGTTTCTAACTCCGCCGTCTGCTCCAGTTGCGCAGGGCAGCGAGGAGTAAGGAAGGACAAGCCCAAGCATTCACTTTCAGCTCCCACTTTTCCCTTTTTCCTCTGCGAAAAGCACTCCAAGCCGCAAAAAGCCGTCCAAGGTACGGCACGAACCATCCCTGGCGCCCTCACCGGGTGATGGCACACGTGAGCCCGCAGCCATCTGCCACTGCACCGCTCTTATCGCTAAGCCAAGCCCTCCTTTCCGTGAGGACTCCCAAAACCAAGGGAATATCCCAAAACAAGGGCGTCTCCGGCCGAGCTGGCGGCCGCCCCCGCAATCCTCTGCCCCCGCTACCACCTGGGAGTTTTGCATCCTTGTTTTCCGGCACCCGGAGGCTGGAAGAGCCCCGACTCCCACAGCGTTGGCCCCGATTTCTGAGGCAAATTCCCCGGAGCTGCTTTTCTCTTCAAGGGATGCCGTCACAGCCGGCTGAAGCAGCAAGAAACGGGGTTAAAATGGCGTTGGGGTGGAAAAAAATCTGATGGAGGGGGTCGGATAAATGAAGGATCACTCTTGGATAGGGGGCTTCCTGATTTTGGAAATCAGCTCTCCTGGTTTGGGAAAAATACGCACACTTTGACTATAAGTCTCCAAAAATTTGAATAGTGTGAGATGCCTGCTGGTGCTGCGGGCGCGGAGGAATTGGGGGGGTGCTGGAAAGAGGCAGGTCCCGGTGGCAAAGGAAAAAGATTAGGGAGGAGCGGGGATTCTGAAGGTGCCCGAATGCATCCAACGCAGTTAAATTCCAGTTTCTAATTGGGAGTTCGGGGCTTAGGTTTTCACCTTCCCGCTTTCGGATGCATCCAAAATATGTGGGCTGCGTTTCCTGGGGTATGGATGGTGCCACGGAGAGCGGTCTGCTGCCTTTGCACGAGAAGACCACGCATCTAATATTAATTATTGCTGTTATCTCTCTGGCTTCGGCGAGCGAACACCGCCAGCCTCAGCCCAATGCTCCGCACCGCCCTCACACACACTTTAATTTAACATTTCTGCCGTCTTCTGGAGCCTCTAAAAGATCTTTTCCTCTTGCTGTCACTGATCCTCAAATCCCTACAGGGAAGCGGCGATGGCAATAACCCTCCGGATCATCCAGGAGCCTCCTGGGCTCAGCGGAGGGCAGCAGAAACAAGAAAGAGGAAAAATGTGGGAAAATCTTTTAAGGCAACTCATGCTTTACATAAGGGCAGAGCTCACACTCAAAAAAATAAAGGAAAAACCGACTAAGTAACTGATTCCCACTTAGTTCAGTACAATCCCTTAATTACTTCTTTTTTGTTGTTCTAAAGTTATACCTCGGGGAGGGAAAAAAAAAAAAGCCAGACCCTTTCAGCTGTAATTACTGCGGTTTTGATGGAAATATCGCCTCCGATAACAGCCCCACGCACGCTAATCCCTGCAGCCTTTAAGGTATCCATGAGAAAATTAATCCGCTGAGTAAAACCCCCAAGCCCTACGTCCGCCTCGAGAAAGGTTTTATCAAGGCGTGATAGGGCTCCGAGGTGGTTCGCTGAAGGAGACTCATCAATTCTCCTCTTCTGGGCTTTTTTGGCATCTCCTTCCCCCCCAGCAGCCCCGCCTCGCAGTGGCGGCCACCGCTGCCAGCCCCTCTACAGCTGGCTGGTGGGGAGATTTGGGGTGTCCGGGGGCTCCCAGACCTGTGTCCCCAAACCCTCTGCATCGCCAGCTGACATCCTGAGCATCTTCTCCTTGGTACCCGCCCCAGGAAGGTGCAGGGGGGAGGTTACACCACGCTGACGACCCCAGGATGCTCCAGACCCCATTGCCTGGATCCACCCCTGGTCCGTAGGTGAAACAGGAGGATTTGGGGATTTAAGGGGGCGGTTTAACTCAAAATTTCTCAAAGCGGGAAGGTGCTCTGAGCCCATCAATGGGGATTCCCACAGGCAGCATCCCCTCCGCATCCCCATCCCCTCCCGGCTGCTCAGGGCAGCTCACACCTGACACAACTGCGCCAGTTCTCTGCAGCCCCCCCCCCCTCCCCGTCTCCCCGTCTCCCCGCCGCAGGGACTCACCCCAGTGCAAAGACATCCGAGTGCGTGGGTACCACGGAGGGCACGGGGCGGGGGGGAAGGACATCACCCCCATGCCACCAGCCAGCAGCCCCCCAGCCCTCCCACCCTCTCCCTGGGGCATTTCAGCTTGGTTTTCCCAACAGCATCCTTGCAAAGTCGGGTTTTAACCCTGCTCTGAGACACGCCAGCACAGTGGCTTCATGCCTGTTCCTGCCAGGTGGCAGTGCACAATTTGGGCACAGGATGGTGGCAAGGAGAAGTTTTGGGTCCGCCGGGCTGGTGATGGGAATGGAGGGGCTGCCGGGGCCCTCGCTGTCACCATTGCACCAAAACACTTTAAAAGAAGAGGGGGCAAAGCGTTACCTGGGGTAGATCCCACCAGCATTGACCCCTGAGCTGGCCCCACTGTGGTTTGAGCAGGAGGATGGACTGGGGACCTCTAAGGGTCTCTTCCAACCAAACCCACCCTATAGTAATGGCCCGGAAATCTGTGTTTTCAGCTGTTTGGCCCCAAACAGCCCCTCCAACCCACCTTCGTGTCCAAGCCCCCCATGCCATCGCCCGTGGGAGCAGCCTGCCCTCATTATAATCACCCGCTCTGCGATAAATAGCGGCCGATCCTCGCTGCGACATTGCTCTTAAATCCCAGGTTGCCAGCCAGGAATTTCACTCCATCTTTAATCCCCCTCACCAGCCCCTAAACTAACCTCAGCCGGCTTTTCCTCTACCTCCTCGAGGTCCCCCTGCTCGGGGGCTCATTAGGGTCCTTTGGCCAACAGCTGAGGATGACATTGGTTGTTTCTTCATCCTTTCCATCCACCTAGGATGCACCGCTGGCATAAAAAGGGTCCCCAGGCAGGGAAATGGGCAGGGAACACCGGTGGTGGTTAACATGTTAAACAGCTTGATCATATGTCCGAGCCCAAATTCAGCAGCATAGTTTCACAGGAGGTAACAAAAACTGTCCCGTGTCACCCTGGGCGAGAGAAGGAGGAGCCCACCATCTCGTATCAAGGGATTTCTCCCTGTTTGTGCTTGAATGCCTTCCTGAAGATGGGGACGTGCAAGGGTAAGGGATGGCTGTGGGGTTGCTGGGGCCAAAATGCCAGAGCCCGTGTCCCAGGGGACACCATCCAGGCACGGGCATCTCCATCCAACCCCCGAGGCAGGATGCAAAGCTCCCACTGCAATCGCCGATTCCTTGGCTGACTTTTCCCCCCCACGGCTGCGTGCACACAACACGCACAGTCCCAAGATGACGCAGTCCGAATCCCCCCGTCCCCAGGCATCATCCCCAGGCATCACCCCCAGGTCTGGCAGTGACCAGAGGAGGAACCCCCTCCCTAGGGAAAGGATGCTGCCAGTGCAGGGGATCGCTGATTGAACCTCCGTGCCCCCTCCGGACTCTCGACGGCTCCTCTTCACCCCGCTGCGTCGGAGCCACCACCGCAATCAGTGGCTTGGGCGAGACACGGACCCTCCAGCCCGGGGAGCCACAGGCGAGAGCACTTTGGCGCAGGAGGGGAGGCTTTCAGCTCCCCAGCCGGCTCCTGCCGCCGTCCTCCAGCCCTGCCTGGCTCTTAATTACAAGCTGGCATTAAGCACTGGGGCAATTAGAAAAGACTCAGAGGAGCTCGCTCGTCCTTCCCTGTGTCTACGATCTCCATCCCTGGGCAGGCGGTGGGGAGCAGGATGCAGCGGGCAGCAGTCAGATCTGCTCCGTTGCCCTCAGCAGGACCAGGATTGCACCTGGGGCTTTTAATTTTGCTCCCCCAAGTCGCCCGGTGCTGTGATATCCCAGGAGCGGCGTTCAGGCTCATCTCGGGATGCTCCGGGGACCAGATTTGGCTCCGCAGCTCCCGTGCAAGCCCAGCCTCATCCCTCCGCAAAGCTCACCTGCACCCAAACATGCAGCTACGGGTTTAGGAGCGTCCAGCAAGGAGGGATGAGCTTTAATGCAATGCCAAAACTTGGTTTAATTACAGCAATTTGAGGTTTCACGACAAAAAGTTTGCCTGACTTCATAACCAACCTGGCCGCTTCCACGAGCAGAAAGCAGCGCAATCAAACAAGCATCATCTAAACCCACCGAAGGACAAGCAAAAGCAAGAGCAGAAGAGCTCTTCAGACTACTCAAGACCCGCCCCGCGCTCCTCCTAATTACAGAGCAGCCCTACCAAGCCCAACAAGGTCTAAATAGAAATAAATTTGGTTTCGCCAGGATAAGACAGCGGATTACAAAGTCTCTGCAGAAAGTATTTTAGTTGCTTTGGCCATCTCGTTGTTTTCAGCAGCGCAAGCGTGTCACGGCACGCACGGACGCTGCAAACTCCATGTGCCGGATACCTTCATGAACTGTCGGTGAGCCTGCTCGAGGAGGACGAGGAGGACTTTTAAGTCATGTCTTTCTTTTTAACCCAAGCAAAAACAGGCAGTCTGTAGTTCTCATTCACGTCTGAAGCAACATCACCGTCCTTAACTCGACCTGCAAAAATTTGCTCCCATCTCCATACGTGCTTGTCCGTCCAAGCCTCTGAGGACCCAAAGCTGGGCTTTATCATCCTCCTTCATCAGAGAGAAACCAGAACCAGCAAAAAAAACCCACCCTGAAAAGGGAAATCAGACCTGCAGACACCCACTGCTTCAAAATTCACAGTGACCGATGACCACGAATCCCCACCTTCTCTCAGCCCTCCACCGCAGAAGACATATGTGCCACCAGCAATCCGGGGCAGCCACACTGAAAGCTCCTTGGGGCAGAAATTTCCCCATTTTCTCCAGTTTTCTAGCAAAACACTGCTCATTTCTGTCAAGCCTTGCATTTCTGACCATCCTTCTCCTCCTGAGTAATCTCCTGGACTTTACCCCCAAGTGAAACCCCAATCTTGAGCAGAGATGGCCACGCATCGGTTCCCCCGCATCAGCTACCCCGTTTCCCCAGCACCTCATCCCTCATTTTATCTCCAGAGCATCTCTAACCTTCATAGCAAAAGTCCCTGGCAAAATCTGGCCATTTTTTTTGCCCAAATCCTTTTCCCACTGCTGGAATGAGCTGCCACCTCATCCTGGCAGGACCTAAGTCCCCAAAACCCCTGCCCAGCTGCTAATCCGGAGCCAAACCCCACTTCTCTGCTGCGGGGAAAGCAGCAGCGCTGCTGGATTTCTTGGGTTTCCTAAGCTTTTGGCCAAGTTTGTGCTAAAACCAGATGATATTTATACAAGCAGAACGGAAAGGCTGGCTGCCCGCCTCGCCGCGAGAGGCGTGGGATGGAGAGAAGCAGCCGTCGCCTTTTCCTCTAATCCTTCGACGTCGTCACACACGAGTTAGAAAAAAAAAAAAATACCAAGTTTCCAAGGTACTTTTTATCTCCTGATCGTCTTCTCCACAAAGTGATGATCGGCCACGACAACCTCTTCGGTGACAAACCTCCATCACGTGGGGTGACGGAGAGCGAAAGGACCAGAAGGCAGTTACGGCGCTGCCGGAGGAAACCTGCCCGAGCTGCCGGCACTGATAACGCCGCGCTTGGCCCGTGCTGCTTCTAACACAAAGGGTTTAGTGAAAAAGCTCTCTCCCGCTGGGAAAAGTCAGCAACGCTTTTTTTGTTTGTTTTTTTTTTTTAGTTTTAACAAAAATGAAAAATATAATCTTTGTTCTTTTTTCCCCCTTTTGTGTTTCCTTTCCCCCCCCCCTAGCTTTGCTTTTCTTCCTTTCCACGGCTGCCGAAACTCTTTGCCCTGCCGTGCCTACAGCTGGGAAACCTCCCCAAGCACTGGGAAAAAAAAAAAAACAAAAAAAAAACCAACCCCAAACCCATTTAATAAGGGACATTTACCAAACGGGCTTGGTTCCAAACCCAAAGAGACCAAAAAAAATATGTCACAATGCTGTAAATGTCCCAAGCTGGGCTCTCATTTTCTCTGTGTCTTGCTCCATGCCCTGGCTCAGTGCAGACACTGCGGCCAGATGTCTGCAGCACCCAAAAGGTCACCGGAGCGGCTGGGGGAAGGCACTGCTCGACCCAGGCTTGGCTGCACCGCTCATCGGGCCAGAGGCAGGAGATGAAGCAGATGCTGAGGGGATTTGTAATGGTGTTGGGGAAAGGCCAAGGAAGGAGCCATCTTTGCTGGCCCTGGTGAAACAGAGCCCTAGGAGCATCTCCCGCATGGCTGCAGGGTGGTTTGGCCACGGAAATGATGCATCCCGTGGGAAAAGATCGGGACCAAGAGACCCTGCCGGCTCCTGCCTCTCTGAACCGAGCTGCCGAGGACTCGCATGCAGCATCACGCTCCATCCTACCAACCAAAAGCAACTCTGCCTTTAAACGCTAGGTTTAAAATAAAATAAAATTAAAAAAAAAGAGAGAAACAAAATCAAATCGCAACGAGCTGCAACTTCTGCACCCAAGAAGCAGAGCAGTTTGTTTTCGCCGCCCGGCGCCGAGCCCCGACCCACCTCGCTGCCGAAACCCCAGCCCTGCTCTCACCATCCCCCTGGGGCTTCGCACCGCAAAGCCAAAGCCAACACCGGCATCTAGCGTGGAGCTGTGCTTCAAGGGAGCACCGCTCGTGGGGCAGAGGGGTTTCTGCAGGAGCGACGCGTCTCGCTCTTTTCCCAAAGCAAACCTCCTCAAAAGCAAAAACCCGAGAGGTGAGACGGTGACATCCCCGGGGCAGCCCCAGGATGCTCAAAGGCACCTTTGTCCTCCTGTCTACTGAGGCTGCAGACCCATTTGCAGAGGAGGTTTTTGGGCTTCCCTCCTTGTGTCCCCAGCTCAAAGGGGAGCTCTAGGGCATGCGGAGGAATCCCAGTATTTCCACCATGCCATGTCCTACCTGCCCGCTTGGAGAACTCCCGAGATGCTGAAGAGGCCAAAGTCCGTGATCACCACCTTCCCGTTGTCATAGAAAACATTTTTTGACTTGAGGTCCTTGTGAAGGATCCCCTTGGCGTGCAGGTAGCCCATTCCCTAGGACGGAAGAGAGAGAAAAACACCCCAAAATTGCAAAAGCAGCAGAAACAGAGCGGGATAACGCCAGAGCGGGGGCAGCCCCACCGCTGCCAAGACAGAGAGAGCCCGGCTACGAGCATCCCCGTGCCGCAGCAGCACGTCCATGCTACCGAGCTACCGCTGGGCCCCAGCCAAAGGCTGCACGTCCCCCAGTTGTCCCCGCAGAAAGGGCAGGTGTCCAGGGGTCCCCCAGCTTGGGACGGACATCGGGTGGCGCTGGCGTAGGGTGACGGGATCATGGCGTGGGCGTCTCGCTCTGGGCTGCCACAGCGCCCGCTCGTCTTCCTGATTAATCGGTTATGCAAGAAAAATTAGCGGCAAACCAAAGCGGCAGCCGCTTTCCTGAAATCCTCCGCTGAGAAATTGATGATGATGATGTTTTCGCCTTTGTTTCTTTTACGGGGCTGAGAGCAGAGGGGTAATAAGTCAAAGCTCTCCATCACCGCCGCTGCGTCCCCTGGCTGAGCCATTAGTGCTTCCTACGTGCACACCGACACCATTAGCCTGGAAACAAGCACCTCGCAGGAGTCCTGCCTTAATTCTTTTCCCCTAGGAAAAACTACTTGGTGGTTAATTAAAATTATCGCTAATGATGCAAAAAAAAAATAAAAATAAAAAGGCCATGGGTGGGAAATCCAAACTCGCCTGCGCCAGGCTTGTTTAGCGTCGGCAAATCAAGCAGAATGCCGACAGCTCCATGTGGCGGACGTTCAGCTCAACGGGATAACCAGCTCCGGGAACGGGGAGGGCGATGAAAGCCATTTATCCTGACTTCAGCAGGGCTTTCGAGGCTGTCTCACTTTTCATTCTCATAAGCAGACGAGGAGGAACTTGGTGCGGAGGAAGCTACTGAAGGATAAATGCCAAATGGACCAGCAAACTGTCACTTAAGAACAAATATCGGTTGTCCATCACTGACATGGGGGAATTTATTAACTGGATTTCCACGGGGGTCTGTCCTAGGTCTGATCTTTTCATGCATCGTCATTAACCGTGCGGGCAGGGGAACAAGAATATATTAAGTTTACAGCTGATGTGGAGCCGGGAGGCACAACGTGAATTCAGAAACAATCTGGAAAAATTGGGAAAGTAACCTGGAAAACCCACAAATCCTCAAATGCAAAAACCCAGGACTTGGGAAAGATCCCGAAGGTGCCGAGGACATGCCAGCAGCGCAGACCCGCGGGGGCTCCGCTCCAGGGGCAGCCGGGGACAGCAATCACCCCAACCCAGCAAGTCACTGGGGTTTAACTGCACCCCTCGGCCGTCACATCCCAAAAAGCCTCTGCTGAGGGATGCTGGAGGAGGGAAAGAATTTGGATGCTGGAGAAGGGAAAGGATTCATGGCTGCGGCCGGCCTTGAGATGCCACAGCTGCAGCTGGATACCGGGACCACTCCAGGCGCTGGGATTAATTAGGGGTCCGCAGGTCCCAGCACATGAAATAATGATGAGGTTTAAAAATCTGCTTTAAAATGTCACTGTCACCTTCACGTAGTGCCAGGGTTGTGCAAGGAACAGCATTTCAATGCCGGGAGCCTGTTCCTCCCGCGAGGTGCGGCACAGGGCCCCGAGCACCCGTTGGGACAGGATGAGACCCAGCGCCACGGGGATGCTCCGCATCCCTCTCCCAGCAGCCGGGGGGTGATGGGAGCTGGGAGCAGGCAGCGAGGACTTTGCCTCTACGCTCCCACAGCACGGGTGAGAACGCATCTCCCGTGCACTCCTCAAACGCAGCCGAGCCTTCGCTGAAGGTATTTCTCCAGGAGCTCTCGGCAAACCCAAATCCCTCGCCTCGCTCCGCGGGGTGTCGCGCAGATCCCACTGCAAATTCCAGCCCCGCCGTCTTCGCCCCCTGGGATGATCTGTGAGAAAACACTCTCGACCCAGTAATGCCTTAATTTGCTCGGCTGCCCGGCGCGCGTGAAAAGCCAGCTCCCTCTGCCGGCTCCGCGTCTTAAATAAATTAACTTTCGCCTCCAGAGGATCACGGCATAACGGGAGCCCTTGCACCCGCTAATCCAATAAGCTTCATGGCTCTCCTATCGCACACGGGGACTCAAAGGATCAAGTCAAACAACTGCCACGACCGGGTAGGGTAGCGGAGCCGAAACCTCTGCTGTGGTCCTGCCTCCAGCTCCTCTGGGCGATGCTGCCCCAAGCCCAACCAAACCGAGATGTCAGGGTTGTCCTTTGCTTCTCCACACCTGCCACCTTCAAGTCCACCGAAACTGCCTTAAACATCTGCTGGTGGTTGACATGGAGAGGTGGGAAGGCAGAGAAACTCCTCTTCCTGGTGCCCACCAGCAATGGGCCATGTGTTGACATGGAGAGGTGGGAAGGCAGAGAAACTCCTCCTCCTGGTGCCCACCAGCAATGGGCCATGTGTTGACACGGAGAGGTGGGAAGGCAGAGAAACTCCTCCTCCTGGTGCCCACCAGCAATGGGCCATGTGTTGACACGGAGAGGTGGGAAGGCAGAGAAACTCCTCCTCCTGGTGCCCACCAGCAATGGGCCATGTGTTGACATGGAGAGGTGGGAAGGCAGAGAAACTCCTCCTCCTGGTGCCCACCAGCAATGGGCCATGTGTTGACACGGAGAGGTGGGAAGGCAGAGAAACTCCTCCTCCTGGTGCCCACCAGCAATGGGCCATGTGTTGACACGGAGAGGGGGGAAGGCAGAGAAACTCCTCCTCCTGGTGCCCACCAGCAATGGGCCATGTGTCTGGGGCACAGCACTAGGGTGATGGAGACCAAAAGGACCAGAAGGTGAGTACAGCGCTGAGACAAGGGTGTGATAGACCTACCCTGCGAGCAGGAGCTGCTGTCTTAAAATTCCTCCAGTGCTCAGGGGGAGGCTGGGGTCAGTACCCATGCCGCAGAGCTTTGCCTTTGGACCTCTGCTAATCCCTACGGGGACCCAGGTCGGACCCAAAGCCCCTCTGCCCTGCAGCAGGAGCACCCAACCCCGTTGTCCCAAGGAGGAGAGGATGCAGGGAAGCTGCTGGGGCTACAACCAGGTCTACGTGCATTCACGCTGATGTGCTTCAGCAGATCTCATGGGTGACATTCTTCACGGTGATGCTTTCATGTCAAAGATCCAGCGACGCCTCCCCAGTGCTGGTGGTGGCCTGCAACGCCACGAAGAGTTTGAGGTTTTCAACCCATTCCTAATGCACATGCAGCTGCAGAAGACAGTGGTCTCTTAGCCGAGTCCTCAAAACCCCAACCCACACGGAGCAATGTAGCCCGCGCAGAGAAAGGGGCTGAACCGAGCCATCACCTCCCGCTGTGAACATCTGGGAGGTGAGAACCCCGAGCACAAGAGCAGTGGTAGTCAGGGGGAAAAAGATGTGAGACAGACCTATGTGATGCTTGAGATGTTTGCTCAGGGGAAAAATCCATCTTTAAAAAGCGGAAAATACAAATCAGAAATAGAAAAGAAGCAGAGGCCCTCAGCTCTCAGACACACCAACTCATAAGCCTGAGCCACCACCCAGCTTGGGACATACTACAGCCCTACACGGGGCCGACAGCAACCCCCAACAGACCCTTCGCACAGGCAGACCTGCTGTGTGCCTCAGGACAGCGCACCAAAGGCACGGGGTTCATCCCTTGCGGCTTCCCTCCATCACCCCACGGTGGGGCTCGGCCACGTCACCCTTCCAAGACACCTCTTGCGATGCCCGTGCAGACACGGGCGGCTCAGCCAAGCGGTTAAGCCTCCGCTCAACTGTCAGCTCCTGCCCAGAGCTCAGAGACTTCGGGGGAATTTAAGGAATTCACTTTAAAAACAGCATGCACTTTGCAAAATCTGGGTGTAAATAAAGGCAGAATAGGCAATCTAATAAGAGAGCGCCTAAGCACAGGCAGGGGAACGGCACCACTGGGGGTGTATCGCAGAACACACTCTGGTTTATAACATGGATTTGGATATTTAAGGAGGTTTAAGATCTGCTAGAAAAACTTCTTTCTTTTTTTTTTTTTTTTCCCCATAGAAATATGTTAAACGTGAGCTCAGCCCCAGACGGTTTGGACTCGCTGGGGGTGGGAGGTGCCGGCTGACCTCGAGCTGGGCACAAGGTCAGCGTCGCCGCTGCCGGGGTAGTACATGTGCCAAATACTTTTGGTACCGTTTGGTGTTTAAATACATTTGGAACCCCGGTAAAATGCTACTCTGGCAGACGGCTCGACACCTCCTGGGAAAACGAGCCGTTGCAGACACTCGATGGGAAGCTCTCATGGCTCGGGACCCAACTTCTCGGCCACTTGACCCCGCCACGTGCGGATCCTCCCCGGCGTCTATTTATATGGACACGTCTGAAGTGTCGAAGACGCGCTTTGAGTCATCTCTGTGAAAGGAAAAGCTTTTTTAGCTCTGAAAAAAAACGTACGTGTGCACTGCCTCGTGGGACGCACAGCCCCCCTGCCACGAGCACAGCGGCACTGACTCCTCCGGGCGCCTTGGCTGCGGGGACGCTGTCATTACGGAGACGTGGAAGCCTCAGATCAACTACAGATTAATTATTATATTATTATTTTTTTTTTTCAAAGAGGAGAGGAATATCCAACCAGCAACTCACAGCAGCAGCAAAGCTGGAGTGAAACACTTGAATTTCCCAGGGGGAAGAGGAGCTGCAGCCAGGACGAGCCCCAAGCTCACTTCTTCACGCAGAGCCCGCGAGAAACCTTGCTGCCACCCCAGTTCAGCTCAAGAGAGGTCCAAGAGACATGGGGTTTAAAGCCAAGAGGTGCTATCCTACCCAACCTCCTCGGCTTCTTCATTGCCGCTCCCCGGAGCGGCTCGGCCAGGCTCTGGTCTGGATCCGGACCCTCACCGGGGCTGAGCTGCCCCCACACCATACCGTACCTTCACAATTTCTTGTGCTATCTGCCTTGTCTTGTTGACATCCAGGACGATTTTGGCATCTCTCACCACCGAGTAGAGAGTCCGTCCTTTGCACAGGCTGAAAGAGCAGGAAAAGGGAGAAGATAAAACCACGGTTTGTAAACCCACCCACCCA